CCTGGCCTCCTCACTCCTTTCAAGTCTCCAGGAAAACATGACCTGGCCAAGTAGCCTCAGCCAAGGAGTCCAATAAGACTATTGAGCTCTGTTCATTAGAGCCAATGCTCCAATTCCAAAATCTAAAGAGATAACCTAACTGGTCCAGCACATTTCTTCTTAAAAGCTACTCTACTGGAAGATGCAACATGTCACCCATTCCCCTTGTGATCAACAGCCATCCATCCACAGAAGGTGTGGCTGAGGCTGTCCTGCCATAAGCCAGCCCCAGGACATATGAATGCAGCTGTCCTAGACCAGACAGCCCACCTGCTGACCACAGATACCTGAGCAAATCCAGCTGAGATCAGCCAAACCTGCTCCAGTTCAGAACCATCTAGATGAGCAGACCACCCAGCTGACCCACAGACCTCTGAAGTAAAGAATTGTTTCACTTTTTAAGCCACTAAATTTGGGTGGGTTTATACCTCTTGATACAGTTAGCAAGTGGCAGAGAATCCACAATTTGACAGTGACCATCTGACTTCAATGACAGTGAATGCACTCAAATCCAGTGCACACTGTAGCTTGGCTAATGCAATGCCTTCTTTCCTAGAAGGCGTGTATGTAACATCTTTATTAGGATTTGGGATGGTCAGGATGGATTCAAAACCCAGCTTATTTATTCTGGGTACGTTAATCTCTCCAAACCTTAGCTTCCTCTTATGTTAACTGCAAACAATACCCACTACCTCACAGAGAGACCAGGAGGGTATAATGGGATAACATATCTAATGGTCAGAGTTTAATGAGCTGTGACCTTTCCTAGCCTATGGAAAGTCTGCAATGGGTCTGAGAGTTCTTTTTTTTTTTTTTTTTTTTTTTTTTTTGAGACGGAGTTTCACTCTTGTTACCCAGGCTGGAGTGCAATGGCCCGATCTCGGCTCACCACAACCTCCGCCTCCTGGGTTCAGGCAATTCTCCTGCCTCAGCCTCCTGAGTAGCTGGGATTACAGGCACGCACCACCGTGCCCAGCTAATTTTTTGTATTTTTAGTAGAGATGGGGTTTCACCATGTTGACCTGGATGGTCTCGATCTCTTGACCTTGTGATCCACCCGTCTCGGCCTCCCAAAGTGCTGGGACTACAGGCTTGAGCCACTGCACCCAGCAAAGAGTTCTTAAGGACTGAAGGCATTTCCTTCCCAGTGTTGACGTCCATGTAACTGACAATTTTAGGAATGGTACCTCTTCTCAGAGACATTGAGTTTTTGTAGCTTGTAACCCTTAGTTAATTCTACATGAAATTTTTCCTTAATTATAAGCATTTGTTTAAACCAGTATTTCTCAGTCTGCAGCTGCAGGTGAAATGCAGATTCATGGCCTCATATCAGACTCACTGAATTAGACTCTCCCAGGAGTGGGGAAGAATCTTTTTTTTTTTTTTTTTTTAAATAGAGACAGGATTTCTCCATGTTGGTCAGGCTCGTCTCAAACTCCTGGCCTCAGGTGATCTGCCTGCCTCGGCCTCCCAAAGTGCTAGGATTACAGGTGTGAGCCACTGCATCCAGCCATAGTATCCTAAGGCTTTACGTCAAAAAATGTATACTGCCACTTTTTCCTCAGAAGTCGTGCTGATATAGCCACTACGTTTGCTGGAAATAGAGTTACACACCAATGAATGAATCTGGTTGAATGAATCAACCCAGATGATACTATGATTAAAATATAAAGTGTATCAATGTGTTACTCTTTGAATGAATACCGGAAAATCAGTTTCCCTCTCTGTTTTCCTTGTTTTGCATCTATAGTCCTGTACTCCTATGCTAGAAGTAGGAAGAGGGAAAGAGGGAATGAGAAGGAATTTTACAAGTACCAAGAAATATTGACTTGTTTTTTACTGTTGTTATTATCAATAACATTATTTTCACAGAGTAAGCACTAAGAGAAATGGGAAATGCCTTGACCCCAAACTGACTCTGAAAGTTTGTTCGGCCTGAACTGGTTTTAGTAGGAACATTTTTGTTCACCTTCTGAAGTAGCCATTAGAGAAACTGTGGGAACACTTCACTAGGGCTAAATTCTTAAGTCCACCTAACTAGAGTCAAAAGTTGAAAGTGTCTTAGTTTGATGTCTTTTTGGCTGGTCTGTTTCATGGTATCATGTTTTTAAAAAGACTTTTTCACAAAAGAGTAGAAAAAGGAAAAATAATAACAGAAGGGAACTACTACAAAAGTGCTGTTGGAAGCCTATTCCTCTTCAGATGCCACCAGCGCTTAGAACTTTTTATCCAAAGCTCTTCATTTCCTACCAATATATATATTTTTACTGTTCCAAAGGTAGAAGAGGCTCTGAATAGCAAAAGTGCTGTGCTTTTTAAAACCTGCTGAACAACTTCTATCTCTAAGAGCACTAAAGTTTTGCCATACCAGTTTGAGTATGACAAACTGCAAAACATATGCATAAAAAAATCTAGACTCTTCTAATTGTGCCAATCCATGGTTTAAAAAAAATTACTTCTGGAGCCACACAGCTGTTAAAATCCATCATATTTACAATTTTTATAAATGAATTTACTTTAATAAAAACAAGTTACTCTGTGAGCTTGATCTCTAAGCAGATTTATGTGGGCTGGCACAATCTGCTCTGCTAAACATATATTCATATTGCTTAAGTCTGCAACCAGGTTTTTTTTCTTTTTTTCTTTTTTTTTTTTTGAGTGGTGATGATAACAGTCTTACTTTGTACAAGGATACCAAGTAATTCGAAGCAATTCAGCAAAGGACATTGTTCTCAGCACTGTGTTTTCTTGGACAGAATTGCCCTGTGAGCATGACTCTAAACTGGGAGAATTCTGGGCTGCTGGCATTGGGCAGCGAACCAGGGAGACAGCTCATAGAGAGGAGGAGGTGACTCTATAAACTAGTGCTAAAGAAGAGGAGGAGGAAGAGGAAGAAAGCAAGGGAGGAAGTGGGGGTAGAATGTGGAGTTACAGTCAACAGCTCCATGTCCCTAAAGGGGTCTCTTCTCACCTTTCACTTTGGGACTTTTTTTTATTTTTATTTTTTTGAGATGGAGTCTCACTCTGTCACCTGGGCTGGAGTCCAGTAATTCAATCTCAGCTCACTGCAACCTCTGCCTCTGGGTTTAAGCAATTTTCCTGCCTCAGCCTTCCCAAGGAGCTGGGATTACAGGTGCAGGTGGCTATGCCTGGCTGATTTTTTTTTTTTTCATTTTGGTAGAGATGGGGTTTCACTGTGTTGCCCAGGCTGGTCTCGAACTCCTGAGCTCAGGCAATTCGCCCACCTCGACCTCCCAAAGTGCTAGGATTGCAGGCGTGAGCCACCACGCCTGGCCCACTTTGAGACATTTTTATGCTCCTGTTTTTTGCTTGGCTAGTAGACCACATGTTCCTGGAAGACAGGAATGTTGCCTAAGTCAGCTGTACATACCCACAGTGCCTGGTATATACCGGCACACACACAAACTAGTCAGTAAATGTGTAGACAAAAGAATGAATCTATCTGAAGCATTTCCTGAAGAGGTTCCCAGTGAGGGCAGTACTGCCCCTTGGGGGCATATTGAAATTTTGCGGGGGCAGTTTTTGTTTTGCAATTCTATTGTCAGAGTATTTGCATTGTGAAAACTGTTATTTTAAATTTTTTCTTGATATTAGTACATACAGTATTTTATTATAAACGACTTTCTCTTTTTTCACCTTTATTAGAACATCACATTAGTTTCTTGAAATTATTTATAGAGGTATTTGCATTAGGAATTTAACTCCACAAGAGTAAAGCAGTGTTATAATTTTTCTTGTCAATACAGGGCATTGAATGTGGCAGGGTTGAACACCTTTACTTATAAGATCATTAAGCTTCATTGTACATACGTTTTAGGATTCTAAGATGAAATATACAAATAAAAAGAACATTATAGAACCCTGATTTCAACAACTGGATCCTATGGCCGGGCGTGGTGGCTCACGCCTGTAATCCCAGCACTTTGGGAGGCTGAGGCCGGTAGATCACTTGAGGTCAGGAGTTCGAGACCAGCCTGGCCAACATGGTGAAACACTCTCTCTATTAAAAATACAAAAAAATAGCCCCGCGTGGTGGCGGGCGCCTATAATCCCAGCTACTTGGGAGGCTGAGGCAGGAGAATGGCTTGAACCCAGGAGGCGGAGGTTGCAGTGAGCTGAGATCGCGCCTCCATTGCACTCCAGCCTGGGCGACATCGTGAGACTCCGTTTCAAAAAAAAAAAAAAAAATCAGACTTCCACTTGAAGCAACTCCATCTTTTAGGATTAATGTGGCTCAGCGGAGCTCTGCTGTCAAAGCACAAAGGGTCCCCGACTGGGATGGGGGCGGGGAGTGAAAGTCAAGGCGCCCAGGAGCTCTCGAGAGTCTAGGGACCGGCGTGTGGAGCCGCTGGAGGGTGGGTCGCTGCTCTCGGCTTTGGTTATGTCCCTCTGCGTTGTGACGGCAGTGTGGGCTGAAAGGAAAAGGAGGTGGCGAGGGGCGGCGACGCCAAGCGGTGTTTCCGAAAGCCCGGGACCTCGCTGGCCCGGCTGCGGGGCTGGTTCCCTGGAAGCCGTCGGTATGTGAAGCCCTCGACTCGGAAAGAAGCCTCCGGAAGAGAGAGTAGCTGTTAGCGGAGAGGAGGGCGTCTGAGGGGCAGAGAGTGGCTCCGCCTGAGCCGGCGGTTGCGAGTGCAGTTGAACTGAACTTTTGGTGTCTGCGGGTGGAGCTGCTGCCCGCAGAGGAGAGAGGTACGTAGCGAAAAGAGGTGGAGCTGCCGCTGACACGGGGCGCGGCGACTTCTGACAAGGCGCGCGGCTCGGGGCTGGACTCGCAGCTGCCTCCTAAGGGCGGGGCTTCCGCCCAAAGGGGCGGGGCCTGGGTCGTGTAGCCCCGGGGGATGGGCGTGTGATGATAAGGGGCGTTTCAGTGGAAGGCAGCATGCTTACCTCTCACAATCCAGCAGTAACATTAGGAAGGCGGAGCGCAAAGAAGGCAAGCTGCCTTCTGTGTAGACCAGAGAGAAGACCAGGCTTCTGTCGACAGCGGGCGGAGCGGTAGCCGGCAAGGGGCGGGGCCATTTAGAGCCCTGGGAAGGCGGAGCTTCTCCTGACAGGGGGCGGAGCCTCCTCAGCCCAGGGCGGGGCTTCGTTGACAGGGGGGCGGGGCGGTTCCTACCTCCCGCGGTGCGCCAATCCCCGGGGTAGGGGTCGGGGTCAGACCCCAGTGGAACAGCAGGGTCTGGGATTGGGGAGGCCGGCGCCGTACGGGGTGGGGGCGCGTGGAGGACGCGCACGGTGGAGGGCCCTGCCTCGGCCGGCTCTCTTCTCTCCCCCTCCGCCCCCGGACGGCCGTTGGGGCGCGCGCCTCTCCTCGCACCCCCACCCTGGGTCCCCACGCTCCGCGGGCCACGGACCTGCTGAGGCCCCTTTTCGGGCCCGCCGAGCGGTTCCGGGTTTAGGGTTCACAGGTCAGAGTTGACTCCCTGAAAAGTGCAGCCGGTTTGAAATGCAAGATGGCGGCGGCGTGGCGCTGAGAGGCGCGGCGGCCCCTGCAGGTAGTGGCGCGAGCCGGCTCCGCGACCAGCGGGCCCGGAGACTCCGGGCTGCGGGTGGGAACCGGAGTTCAGAGTCCGCGGCCGGCACGGGAAAGGCGAGTGGCGGGGGGCCCGGCGTGGGGAGGGCGGCCTCAAAGCAGAGACCCCCGGGGCTGAGCCCGCTCGCTGCGGCGGGTGGCGGGGCGGACCCGGCGCGGGGCATCTGAGGGGGAGGGACGGGGCCTGCCTCGCGGCTGGGCAGTCGCCGCAGAGGAACTGACCCACAGCCTCCCTCACTCTTTCTGAATGTCTCCGCCGCCGAAAGAGCTTGGGGGCGGGGGTTTCTCTTGAGGGAAAATTTTAGCCCTCTGCCTTGGTGAGGACTGAGTAACTTAGGATTGTTGAGGGGAGTGAAGACTGCGGAGGGCGCCGCGGGAGGGAGCACCCCAGTGATGTTGGGAGTCCTAGGGGAGGTCTGGAGCGCTGTCCTCCGGGGGAGTGTGGCGGCCTCGTGGGGACTCAGTCTCCCTGAGAGTAAGGAGAAATTCTCTTACTGGAGCTGAGCGCACTGACTGAGGTTGGAGCCCCAGCAAACCCTTCGGGAGAAGTCTATACCTCCAGTTCAAGGAAGACTGTACGCACCCGTTTCGGGGCCAGGCCGTGCCCCAACTTTGGGAAAGGCTGGGAGTTGAGCCCTTAACCCAATTACGATTGTGAGGAAGCCCTGGGATTTAGGCAGAAGTTAATTAAAGAGGATGGTAGGGGCGCGGAAGTGTGGGGAGGCTGACCCAGGGGAATCCTCCAAGCCTCAGGGCTCACAGTGAACGATCTACTAATTCCTCAAGGGAAATAAAGGGCTGGGAAGGAGGTGTGAGAGGAACGAGGTCTAAGGGCAGGAAAGAAGAGCCCTGGCAGATGTCTTTTCCTTGTATTTTTACACCAAAGTTGGAAGTAAAGGGACTTGGCAATTCTTTGTTTTAGTACCTTTCCTGTCCTTCTTTCCCCTCTGTGAGTAACTAAGGAAAGAGCATAGCCCCTGAGAAGGAAAATATTCCATTTGATATCCTCAACTTAGGTTAGTGAAGGATCCAGCAGCTGAGAAGTCGTCAATGAGAGACAGCAGGTAGGGAAATTAGTACAGGAACTAGGGATCAGAAAAGAGGATACAGGGACGATATCCGACAGCAGGAATTCCACAGCTCTTTTCTGTCAACTCAGCCCAGCTATTAAAAAAAATGTGAAGAGCTAATTTTTGAGAGAAAATGTAAGAAAAGGCTGAGAGAGTTGTGATGTGATTAGGTTGGGAGTCCATGTAACTTAAAAGAAACAATTCTCTTGGAGGTTAATGTGATAGCAGAGAAAGGAAAAATCACAAAATTGGAAAATATACAGCGGTTCACGGTTAGGGAAGAAGCAGCAGTTTTCCCCCAGGGAACAGTGAATATTTGATTTGGGCTGTGTGTGTGTGTTCATATATAAGAGCTCTTTAGATTTGTTAGTATTGGTCATTGTGTCTCAATCTTTGTCTGAAAGCTTTGATTTGTGTTATATGGTGCTACATTAATTATCTTTGTTGCTGAAAAATTATTCTGAAAAAGTCATTTGTTTTTCTGTCGGGAGTGAAGACGAGCAGGAGTTGTTTTTAACAGGGAAATTGGCCCTAGGATACCCATCGATTATTTTAATTTCTAAAGTAGCAATTCTGACCCCTGATTGTAAGCTAAAGAAATGTGAGTACTGACAATGAAAATAATGCAGTAACAGGACATAAAAAGAAAAAAGGCTTTCATGAATTTTTTTTTTTTCTTTTAGTTTTTCTCTCCTTTCCCAAAGTAGTTTAGGGCTAAGCAGACTAATTTTATACAAAGTAAACTGTATAATCGTGGCCCTTTTCGATATAAAAAGATAGCATTTTAGTTATCAATGAATCTTGTTTGTTGAAATACCTCTTCAGATGCCTTATTTAATTATCAGGATTAAAATGAGAATTAAAGAGTAATACTTGGGTAACTGATGACAGTGATGATTCATAGAGATTTCTTGAACCATTCTTGTATTTTCAAAAGCGCTTTAACGTCTTCAATGGAAATGTTTTAAAGACACACTTCAAGTATAAACTAGTTTAGAACTTCACATTTGGAACATTTTATGCATGTATGCTGTTCTTTGGTTTCCTCAGTGTGCATGTAGCTCTAGTTTTATATTCAATTCTGAACAGATTAGTCTGGGCGAACCAGGGAGGCATTAATGCCAGATGGTTTGAAAATATGCTAAAGCCGAAAACATAAATGTGCCTGTGCTAGTGAACACTCATTAGTAGATTTCTTTCCTTTATAGCTAAGCTTATTATTTCACTGGATTTGGGGGGTAGTTCATGCATGATGTAGCAATTATTTCACCTTTAATGATAATTGTATTGTAAGTTCTTTTTCTTTTCAATAATTGGGGGCAAAGTTTTGCAGTTATTTTATTAATGAAATTAATAGTATAGGAGAGGTAGTTGATTTTGAAGATTTTTCTCCCTTTTGTATTATTATATTTTACATTAAGATGGAAAGGTTATATTATGATGTATTACATTTCTTTCTCATGCTAATTAAGCATAAAATGTGATATTTAAGACGTAGTTTGCTGTTAAATTATGACAATACTTAAATGAAAATGCTTTTAAAATTATTAAAATGATCACAAATGTAGCTGAGGAAATAACCCTTTTATTTGTTTTGCAGCATTGTGGATTTGGGCTCAAAAGACTCTACTTAAATGTTGAAAGTTCAGTACCTAGTTTTTAATCTAATATCATAGTCAATGCAAATTATTCAGGGAGATTTTTCGAATGATCTATTGTACTGGCCAGTAATACACATTTTTAAACCATTGTAAATATTTATTTATGTTGTGATAAGACATTTACTGTTAAGGCTGAATTTTTTGAATTAAAAATCCTTTTAAATAATCCTACCTAATTTCAAAAGTAAATTATATTTGTTTTTAAAACTATGATACTATCTTTAGAATAAGAGCCAATGTTTCTATACTACTACTGATAAATGTTATTGTATCCTTGCTGCTTTGATACATTTGTAGTCATGAATAACTAGATTTGCATGACTGAATTTGCTGACTTAGATTATTAATCAGAATATACATTTGAGTTTACATTTTGGAGATCCGCATTTTATACAGGATCTTCTTAAATATTAATATTTAAATTTTTATGTAGTTGCCAGGTTTCGATCTTAAAAGATACTTAATCTTGGCATGTTATGCTATCGGTTTCCAATTTAAAAGGTAAAAGTGTATACCTTTGGTCTAAACAAATGTGATAACATACTTTGGAAAATAAGTATATATGAGCAGTTTAAGAATGATGTTAGGCTGGGCGCGGTGGCTCAAGCTTCTAATCTCAGCACTTTGGGAGGCCGAGACAGGTGGATCACGAGGTCAAGAGATCGAGACCATCCTGGTCAACATGGTGAAACCCCGTCTCTACTAAAAATATAAAAAATTAGCTGGGCGTGGTGGTGCGCGCCTGTTGTCCCAGCTACTCGGGAGGCTGAGGCAGGAGAATTGCTGGAACCCAGGAGGCAGAGGTTGCCGTGAGCCGAGATCGTGCCATTGCACTCCAGTCTGGGTAACAACAGCGAAACTCCGTCTCAAAAAAAAAAAAAAAAAAAAAAAACAAAGATGTATATTCCATGGTTATATTTCTAGTTTAAAAAAAAAAGAATGATGTTTATTCAATTGAATAAATCCTTTTTTTTTTTTTTTTTTAAGACAAGGTCTCATTCTGTTGCCAGGGCTGGAGTGCAGTGGCATGATCATGGCTCACTGTACCCTTACACTCCGGGGCTCAAGTGATCCTCTCTCCTCAGCCTCTTGAGTAACTAGGACTACGGTCATATGTCACCCACGCCTGGCTAATTTTTAAATTTTTTTGTAGAGATGGGGTCTTGCTATGTTGGCCTACCTGGTTCCAAACTCCTGGCCTCAAGCAGTCCTCCTACCTTGGCCTCCCAAAATGCTGGGATTACAGGTGTAAGCCACTGCAAAATCATTTTTAATGCAGGATTTTAATTTTCAGTTCTTAGTTTTAGATTAAAAACATATTATCAGAATTTATCTTAATAAAATTAAAATATTAAAGTCATAGCCATATCATTAATTATAAATAAAATAACTCTGATCATATTTTGGTGATTTCCTATTTCTCAAGATTTCTAATTTCATTTTTCCCCTTCCTAAAAGTCTTTCTTTTCCTTTTTTGTTTTTTAGTGAGAAATTAAAGAAGATAGGAGGTTCTGATATTTCTAAGCACTTAACTCATAATTGTGTTTTTCTTCTACGTTTATTCTCTTTTACCATCCAATATTGTTAAAAAGAAGTTTATTAAAATTTTGCTAGACCTGGCTATACTAGGGAAGAGGGGAAGGGAGATCATGAGAAGAGAACAATTTCTCCTCGTTACTATGATAAAATTATTTATATCACATGTTTGCTAGTTCTGTGAAATAACCCTTCAATATGTCATACAGTAATGATTCATTTTGGAGCTAAGGTCAGAAAAAGTGTGTGGGGGAGAGGTTAAATTTGATTGATTAATATCTGCCTGTTGAAGCCGGCTTGTTCCAGCATGATTTAATATGCTCGAAGGTATGAAATGGCAAATAAATTTTATTGGTTGGTTGTTACCCAGCTTCTTAAAGTATTTTATCATTTGTCAACAGTTAGCAAATTTTTTTTTTTGAGATGGAGTTTGGCTGTTGTTACCCAGACTGGAGTGCAATGGCACGATCTCGGCTCACCGCAACCTCCGCCTTCTGGGTTCAAGCAATTCTCCTGCCTCAGCCTCCCGAGTAGCTGGGACTGCAGGTGCGCACCACCATGCCCAGCTAATTTTTGTATTTTTAGTAGAGACGGGGTTTCACCTCGTTGATCAGGATGGTCTTGATCTCTTGACTTCGTGATCCACCCGCCTCGGCTTCCCAAAGTGCTGGGATTATAGGTGTGAGCCACCGCGCCTGGCCAGCAGTTAGCAAATTTTAAACAAAGATTTCTTTGCTAACATTCATTGTGTTCTAAGTACCAAGAAATACTCCAAAAACTTTACATGCGTTACCTATTTCAGTCCTCACAACAACCCTATTAAGTAAGTAGTATCCTATTAATATTACTAGCACCATTTATAGATGACAGGGCTGAGGCACAGATAGCCTAAGCCATTTGTCTAAAGCCACACAGCTAGTAAGTGGCAATGCTGGATTTGAACCAGTCTGTTCCAAAGCCCAAACTCTTGGTCTTTTTTTATAATCCATCTACTACCAGAACAGCTTGTTCTGTTTTATTATATGATGTTCATAGCTGAGATGAGCTCTTTAATTTTTGAAATTCACTCATACTAAATTAAGAAAAATACTTTGAATTAGATAGAAATGTTCTAAAGTAATCCCAGTATCAGAACTTAAATAACATCAGGCAACTAGGATTTTCATTCAAAAGCACTGATGAGCTCATTTTTGCTCCTCTGGTATCCTTGTGCCTTTACATGTCTTGGCAGTTCTTCTCAAGAGACTCATTCGGTAAAACATCTTGCAATTACTGTGTGATTTTAAGAATGGATTGAAATAGGTTACCAGTTTCTTACGGTATTAATAATTCATTTTGGAAAATAACTTTCCCTCTTCGGCAGCTGTTTCCTATCTTCTCTTCTAGTCCACATCCTGTAGATTGATGACTAATGGGTGGCCGAACAACGAGATACCAGGAAATGAAATTGTAGAGTCCCAGGCTACAGAGATAACAAGATGCTCCACTGGGCCTACCAGGAAAATGCTCTTTTGCTTTTCATGAACATAATGTACTTATTCAGCCTAAGTTTTAACTTAACCTAGAGGTATTTTACTAGAGGACTGGTGTATTTATTTCTTGATGTGAGAAGTTTCTTCATAAACTTGTATGTAATAGTAGCAGCAATCAAAAAATAAGGTATTTGGGAAAATAATCTTGTTTAATATTCATTCATTATGGTTTACAGAGTATATTGCTTAAAGAATACAACAAAAGGCCAGGCACAGTGGCTCATGTCTGTAATCCCAGCACTTGGGAGGTCAAGGTGGGCAGATCACCTGAGGTCAGGAGATCGAGACCATCTTGGCCAACATGGTGAAACCTCGTCTCTTCTAAAAATACAAAAATTAGCTGGGCATGATGGCACATGCCTGTAATTCCAACTACTTGGGAAGTTGAGGCAGGAGAATTGCTTGAACCAGGGAGTTGGAGGTTGCAGTGAGCTGAGATTGCACCACTGCACTCCAGTCTGGTGACAGAGCAAGATTCCATCTCAATAATAATAATAATAATAATAATACAATAAAAATGCGTCAACCCTTCAAAAGTATTATTTATGTATATGCTGGTAAGAGAAGCAATTGTAGCTTTATTAAAGTTTTCTGATTCGTTTAATTGCTCTAGGTTTTATACTACAACCTACTTGGATAATAATTGAATTTTCAGGTAATTATTTTCTATTTATTTGATTGCACAGTATCAGTGCTTCACAGTGCACTGACTGTAAAGCCATTTGGTAGTTCAGGCAAAACAACATAGGTAAACACCAGTCATTCTGTTAGATAACCCCATGTTTAGGGATTGAGTACTACTAGTTTATTTTTAATTTGTTATTGGCTTGTGTTGTCAGCATGAATAATCCTCTCCATTCCAATTAATTAACATAATAAATTAGGATACAAATATCACTAGGTTTATGTACAAATATGTAAACATATACAATTATTCCTATTGTGTAGTTTAATTCAATTGTCTTCATAACCTTTGTGTACTCATTTAAAAGAACTCCCAATTTCTACATCTCAATTTTCACATTACAGACTGCATATATTCACATTTTGAAATCTTATTGAAAATGGTCTAACAGTTATTTGGTTGTTCTGTATAATATAAATATTTATTTATTTATTAATTTTAGAGACGGAGTTTCACCATGATGGCCAGACTGGTCTTGAACTCCTGACCTCAGGTCATCTCCACTGGCCTCCCAAAGTCCTGGGATGACAGGCGTGAGCCACCGTGCCCAGCCAAATATAATTTTTTAATGTATAGTTTTTGTGTTTCCTACCAATATTAGGATTGGCATTTAGATGGTTCTTTTAAAGTTTTGATAAAGGAATAAACTTTTTTTTCACAATTACATTTATTTATTAAAATAATAAGGCATAAATTAAAAACATTTCTTGACTAAAGCTAACTTATATCTAGAATAATAAAATTTTACTTTTTTGCAGGAGAAGTCAGACAGCTGCTTTGGACCTATTGGTAATGATGGCCTGAGCTAAACATCTAACTAGAAGGGATACCCTTCCATTTCAAAGAACAGAATGCTAAGGAAGCTGTGGCAAGTATGTGTTTCATTGTTTTGGTATGGTAAAACTCAGATACTGAATGTACTCACTTTAGATCCCATGATACTATATTTGACTTAAGTTTTTAAAAGCTTTCCTTAAAAAGCAGCAGACATATGCTTAACACTTTTTTTTAATGTACTTTCAAATTTTAAGAGCTATAACTATAGGACTGCTTTAATTTCAAAGGAGACAGTATCACACTTCATAATAAATCTTATATATTTATCATTGATTTTAAAATTAGTATTTGATGAAATCTGCTGTGTGTCAGGCACTATACTGGGTGCTATGATAACAGAGGTAAACAGGACAAATGCACCTTTCCTATGGGAAAATTGATTTAGAAATTTTGCTACGTTTTTGCCTATATCCAGAAAAATGCTTCAAAACATACAAGAACAAATCCTGAAACTATGTTTTCAGTATGTAGGCTACTAATAAGTTAATTATAAGAGTAGGATATTAATTACTAATTAAATACTCTTACTTATATTAACCATACCAAAGCTTAAATATTTGAATATAGATCCTTTTGTAGTTCATAAGTGTAGATCATCATGAACTACAAAAGGATTTTCATGCTTATGTGTGAAATGTGCCTTTCTCAAACCTTGTTATGACACTACCTATTTGATGTAAAAAAATGAAATAAATAATTGAATATATTTGTATGTAATTGCTTTTATATTTTATCTGATTAATTAATTGGCTTTTGTAAGAAGCATTTATCCAATTGTTACTTTAGATGATTGCAGAAAATACTAGGAAAGATTTAATAAACATTAATGTACTGGTTCACTTTCATTTTTTAAAAATTGATAAGAGTTCTTGTAAGTTGATATTACCAATACTGATTGCTATTATCTTTCAAAGTATTTTGGAAAATCAAATCATTATATCCTCAGTGAAGTAGGTAACAGTTACCTTACCTTTATAAATAGGGAAGATAACGACCAGATGAATGGTTTTTCAGTCTTCAAAGACAATCTCACTTGGAACTGAGAATCACATTCTTGTGTTAGACTGGCTGTAAAAGAACACACCTTCTTGAGAAAAGTAGGGAAAAACTATTTTCAGTAGAAAATTACTTTTCAGTAGAAAAAACTATTTTCAGTAGAAAATATATTTACAGGCCGGGCATGGTGGCTCACCCCTGTAATCCCAGCACTTTGGGAGGCCGAGGCGGGTGGATCACGAGGTCAAGAGATCAAGACCATCCTGGTCAACAAGGTGAAACCCTGACTCTACTAAAAATACAAAAAATTAGTTGGGCATGGTGGCACGTGCCTGTAATCCCAGCTACTCAGGAGGCTGAGGCAGGAGAATTGCCTGAACCCAGGAGGTGGAAGTTGCAGTGAGCTGAGATCACGCCATTGCACTCTAGCCTGGGTAACAAGAGCGAAACTCCATCTCAAAAAAAAAAAAGAAAGTACATTTACAAACTATTCACAAGAGATTTCATGATAGTGCTAGTTTATTTTATTTATTTATTTTTTGAGACAGAGTCTCACTTTGTCACCCAAGCTGGAGTACAGTGGCACGATCTCAGCTCACTGCAACCTTTGCCTCCAGGGTTCAAGCAATTCTTCTGCCTCAGCTTCCTGAGTAGCTGGGACTATACGCACATACAACTACACCCGGCTAATATTTGTATTTTGAGTAGAGAGGGGGTTTCACCATGTTGGCCAGGCTGTTCTTGAACTCCTGACCTCGTGATCCACCTCCCTCCGACTCCCAAAGTGTTGGAATTACAGGTGTGAGCCACTGCACCCGGCTCGTAGTGCTAGTTTATATATCAGTTTCAAAGTATTATGTACCTACCTACCTAGCTGCCAGCTGCGGGGAGAAATCTAGGATGTTAGTTTCTTAGGGAGAGACCTTTCTAAAAGACACTTCACTCCTCAAATCTGCGGTCAGAGCTTGCCAGAAGAAATCTGTCTAGCTTGGATTCTTCTTTTAATCTTTAGTGTCATTAAGGTCTGCTTTCTCAGATGGAAAAAAAACAGGTAGAGAGGATAGGGTTTCTTACCTTTCAGCCTTAATTAGCATTAGCAAAGGTATCCTCTGAAATTTGATTATCTTTGACCACAATGTCTTAGATGCTTTCACTTTTATTCTTTTCATTCATGTCTGTATATTCACTTTAATATCTGATTTTCAATTGTCTTGAAACTATTTTTCAGACAGTTTGCTTGAGATTTCTCTCACAGGGAATGATTCTAAGTTACTAGCAATCTTTAATAACATTTGCTGTGGATAAAAGTTTGTATTGTCCAATTCCTAATTTAATTTTTTAAGAACTTGATGTTTCTAAATATTTTAACATTTAATTTTTATTTTTACATTTTAACTTTGAAAATATCTTAATTGTGTAAGTCACCTTTCTTTTTCTTTTCTTTTTCTTTTTTTTTTTTTGTGGGTTGGAGTCTCGCTCTGTTGCCCAGGCTGGAGTACAGTGGGGCACTCTCGGTTCTCCGCAACCTCCACCTCCCAGGTTCAGGCAATTTTCCTGCCTCAGCCTCTCACGTAGCTGGGATTACAGGTGTGCACCACCACACCTGGCTAATTTTTGTATTTTTAGTAGCGATAGGGTTTTACCATGTTGGTCAGGCTGGTCTTGAACTCCTGACCTCGTGATCCACCCGCCTCAGCCTCCCAAAGTGCTAGAATTACAGGCATGAGCCACTGCACCTGGCTGGTAGATACCTTTTGTTTTAATCTGACCTCATTCTTTGTTTGTACTGCTTAGGCATTTGGTGATTTTTGTGGATTTGTGACTTTTAGTTTAATACAGACATGTAAATGTAAGGGTTTTCAGCTGGCTAAACAAGACTCTTGACTCGGAGAGAGAGAAATGAAACTAAATAGAATACAGAGTCCTAAACATTCTCAATATATATATATATATGCAGATTCTAAGGGATTCTCAGTGTGTATATTTTTGCTACCTAAGAATAGTTTTATTTTTGCTACCTAAGAATAGTTGATGCTACATCAAAATTAACATGATCCCTAAAAACTATAGTATCTTCTAAATGTTTTTTTCTTTTATTGAGACGGAGTTTTGCTCTTGTCGCCCTGACTGGAATGCAATGGCACCATCTTGGCTCACTGCAGCCTCCTCCAGGGTTTAAGTGATTCTCCTGCCTCAACCTCCTGATTAGCTGGGATTACAGGCGCCCGCCACCACACCTAGCTAGTTTTTGTATTTTTAGTAGAGACAGGGTTTCACCATGTTGGCCAGGCTGATCTGGAACTCCTGACCTCAGGTGATCCACCCTCCTCAGCCTCCCTAAGTGCTGGGATTACAGGTGTGAGCCAACACACTTGGCCCTGAATGCTTTTATTTGATCCAGAATTGGTGTAAAAAACAAAGTTTGTGGCTGGGCACAAACACTTTGGGAGGCTGAGGCAGGTGGATGATGAGGTCAGAAATTCAAGACCAGCCTGGCCAAGATGGTGAAACCCTGTCTCTACTAAAAAAATACAAAAATTAGCTGGACATGGTGGCGCGCACCTGTAATCCCAACTACTCAGAAGCCTAAGGCAGAGAATTGCTTGAACCCAGGAGGCAGAGTTAGAGAATTGCTTGAACCTGGGAGGCAGAGGTTGCAGTGAGCCAAGATTGTGCCACTGCACTCCAGCCTGGATGACAGAGTGAGACTCCATCTTAAAAAAAAAAAAAAAACACAAGGTTTGTTTTTCTTCACATAAAATCTTACCAAATAACATGCTTTTGTGGCTAACTAGGCCAACACATTGTTATCTGTTAATCATTTAATTTGAAGTCCGAGACAGCCAAAAAAAAAAAAAAAAAAAACCCAGAAGCTTGCAAATTCCTTGCAGTTATGGCTCTGCTAAATTATAAAATATTTTAGACTTTTTCTTAAGTAGTAATAAGCATAGAATTTGAAACAATCCATTTACTTCTTATAGTGTATTACATTGAGGGCTTATTTTTAGTCTTTTTAAAAATGTAGTAGAACATTAAAGTATAGTTTTCTTCCTTTTTTTTTTTTTTGAGACGGAGTTTCACTCTTGTTACCCAGGCTGGAGTGCAATGGCTCGATCTCTGCTCACCACAACCTCCGCCTCCTGGTTCAAGCAATTCTTCCGCCTCAGCCTCCTGAGTAGCTGGGATTACAGGCACGCGCCACCATGCCCAACTTTTTGTATTTTTAGTAGAGATGGGGTTTCACCATGTTGACCAGGATGGTCTCGATTTCTTGACCTCGTGATCCACCCGTCTCAGCCTCCCAAAGTGCTGGGATTACTGGCTAGAGCCACCGTGCCTGGCCTAGTTTTCTTATAAAACAGAGAAGTAATGATTCTAAGTGCAAATTTGCATTTACTCTATTTATAATAACTATATCCTTTTCTCCTGAATCTCACTGCCCAAATCATTCTTTGAATGCTTTATCTCCCTTGTTTGACTTTTTTTTTTTTTTTTTTTTTAAGACAGAGTCTTGCTGTGTTGCCCAGGCTGGAGTGCAGTGGTGCCATCTTGGCTCACTGCAGCCTCTGCCTCCTGGGTTCAAGAGATTCTCCTGCCTCAGCCTCCTAGCTGGGACTATAGTGCGTCCCACCATGCCCAGCTATTTTTTGTATTTTTAGTAGAGATGGGGTTTCATCATGTTGGCCAGGATGGTCTCTGTCTCCTGACCTCAATTGATCTGCCCACCTCAGCCTCCCAAAATGTTGGGATTACAGGTGTGAGTCACCACGTCCAGCCTAAAGATATATTTTTAGCAAACATTATTGGGGTCCTAATAAGTATTTTGTTGTACCCCGGGAATACAGTGGATACTAAATAAATGTTTTTTCTGATCATAAAAGAACTTGCATAAGAACTCTCAAACTTTTTAGATTATGATAAAACATACTTTGCTTTCATTAAATGCTTTTCTGTAGAGAAATTTGAATTATAAAAATTGTAATTGTTTTGATGAGTTCAGAATCATAAGTTGATTGAATAGTATCCTACCCTCAGAAGA